TTTACATCTGTGAATCACTCTTCTATTCTCTATCCCGAATTCTTCTCACCTTGATGTTTCTCCTCCCCTCTGTGAAGCCCGAAGTCAACTAAAGGGCTAATGATAATCATCAAAACGCCGGTCATTTGTTAAAAAAATTGATCATCAGGGTAGAGAGGAGTGAGAGATATGGGGTATCAAAAGACTTGAGCGAAAATCAATGAAATTTTTGGGCATATTTCCAGCGCAGTTTAGAAACTCATAAGATACGATCGGCTTTAGTCGCACTAACGAATAAAGAAAGAGGGCTTCAATAGAGACTAGTCAATTTCAGGAGGTTAATTGCCATTCCCTTTTAGCAAGCTTCCAAAATTCGAAGTTTTCAAATATTCTACAACTTAATTGTTAAATGATTATTCTCAAGGGCAGTTTTAAAGTTTGCAAAGAAAATTACACCCACATCCCAAAATTTATTACTTGCTCAGGTGTCCTTTACTAAGCTGCAAACTGCTTTAGCTCTAAAAAGAGGACGACGTAGAAGAAGGAATAAAGAAAAATGACCTTATATCGAATTGATTATCTGCTAAATTATTGGCCACGTGGTGGGCCAATAATTGTGGTGATTAGTTCCTCATGCATGGTCCTTCTTCATATTCGAGCATGAGGGTAGGAATCCAGTAACTAACACTCCTATGTACTAGATATGAAGAACTATGCGGGCACCGAAAATAGCCCACTAGGCCTCCTAAAACAGGTATGATGAATGTATCCACCCAGTTAAGATACTACTTCGTATAATTGAAGTTTGAAGGATTTAAGTTCACTTGGTGATTATTTAGAAAGACCATGTATGAAAGACCTGTATGAAATCTACCCCGTGCCAATAAACGGAAGGCCTAGGCACAAGACCCGCATTTATATCTTAAATACATTTCATCCTTCAAGTCATTCTCTCACACGCATCATGAACAATAGTAGCAGTAATAAAATCCAAGTTGATCAAGTTATCCCATGGAAGAAAAAGTAAGACAGAAAAAGGAAAGGCCGAAGTGAGAGTGGCATCGACGACGTGATTGTCGTGACTCCATAACAAGAAAGACTCAGAGAAGCATGCAAAGAGGGAGAAAGCAAGGGGATACAGGGGATTGATTGGCAGGACTTAAAAGAAAGGTGTTGAATCTTCAAGGTGGTCAAATTGGTGACATCTCAATGAGCTGCATAGCTAATTACCGTGGCGGAGAGTGGTCGAGGCATCCAACGAATTTTGTAGCCACTGTCCACCCGCATTTTGATGCTAGCACCTTCTGCAACGCGTACTGTCTCGATAACCGCTTGCATGAGGTTCTGAGCGTTTCCAACCAAGACCTCAGTGTTCTCCTGATCCTCCGGCGAGTCTAAACAGAAACACAATCGCATATGAATAATAAAGGAGAGGCACTTTCTGAGCAGGGAATATCAGGAATTTCCATCCAAGGAAACAGGCATTGTAGGTATTTGGAAAGGAGGAGTGGGG